TGGCGAACACTGCTCGGGCTCGGCAGCCGATCCGATCCGAGGGTGTAATTGGATCATCGCGGCATGCCAGTCCAAACACGCGCGCGTACGTGCACTGCTGCATTAAAACACCCCACCCTCGCACACAAGTACTGTGGTAATTACCTTACTATTATTAGGCGCTCAGCTCGCCACCTTTCCTTCATTTGACGCACACACAACATAGATACTACATAAAACAATTATATAGCTAGTACGGAGCACTACCACGGTTACTGCGCATGCCCTGTAACCAAACCAGGATCAACATACGGTCAGACGCCCCTGCAGCTTAAGATCCGGTAGAAGAAGGCTACTAGTCCTCAAAAGTAACTGCGTCTGCAGCAGTTCCTCCTCCTACTCCTCTCCTCTCCTCTCTCTCTCCCTCTCCACTCTCTCTCTATCTGCACGGTAATTAACGCGGAGTTTTATTTACCATTAATTGTACCCCCGGCCCGGCCCGGCCCGGTGGTCATATGGTCATTCTACCACTACCACCCGGCGGCCTCGGATCGGCAGTGAAAAAGGGCACGGAAAAGGCAGCACATGTGCGACTGGAAGGATGCTGGCTGGCATGCTCTACTGCTGCCGCTGCGATCGAATAGAGGAGAGGACTAGGAAAGGCTGCGTGTGCATGAGCATGGTTGGCATCCCAGATTTTATGTGAGATGGTAGTACGTGTACATGCAAATTGATTGGCTGGCTCATCAGGGATTTTAAATTTTGGGAGTAGTAGTAGTTTGCAGCATTTCAAATATTTGGCTATGTTGATTAGCAATCTCAATTCTCAAAGAGAGGGTGATGGATAGTAAGAAAAAGTTGCTTTTAACTTTTTAAAAAAAAATTGAAACAGGAACTGATTTATAAAGTACGGTGCACCTGGAAAACAAATTGAAAGGCAGTGTGTTCCCTTGAACAAGACCTAAGATCCACTCATCCACGACAAGTCCAACACAAGAGGTAGAGAGAAAGTAATGTGAGTGGAATAATCATGGATGCCTTTTTGTGGAGGCTGTGGTGGCTTTGGCGTTGCCTGCTGCTCCAACTAGATTTAGATGCATCCCCTCCCATTATCCTGTTGCTGTTGGCAAGCAAGGAGGAGGAGGGCCGGGACATGAGGAGGTGTTGCTTTCCTTCTCGTTTTTCCCCTTTTGTCCGGACCAAGTGGCACTAGCGCCCGCCGCTGCATAATTTGCACACCCCCGCGCTCAGCTCAGCCTGCTGACAGCGCTGTCGGATGATACCAGCAGTGAGTGCTCTTTTCTAAGCCTATCTCTTCGTCACTTGTGGCAACCAAGGATAGATTAGATGGATGGATAGATACCCAGCCAGAGCCCTTTTCTTCTCTTTTTCTTTTGGGAGGAATCACATGTTCAGGGGAATAATTGTCTTTATTTGCTACTAGTAATCTCACTGCCTTTTTCCCTGTAAATAAAACATAGAAATATGTGGAAATAGTTTGATGTCGTATTCACTACTGGCCACGACCTTGACACCTACAACCAAAAGTTTGCATTTTTACACCGTTGTGACTGACGGCTTTGATGGAGCAACTCTGGTACAATGCCACGCCACCAAAGAAATAGATGCGGTTGACCTTTTCTTTTTTTAACTATGAACCAGGTAATTAACACCCTCCGACTACCGAAACTGGACAAATTTGGTCCCCCTAACTAGATTCATAGGTGGTTTTTTGTTATCTAAAACTAATAAAAATCCAGTTTGGTCTCTAAAAAAATAAAATTAATTTATTTTAAATAAGAAATTATTATACTAATTATAGTTTTCTTTTAAACAAATAATGTTATCTATTTTTTGATTTAAGAGTTATTTTGATCTCATTTGTTTTAGATAAATAATAAGCACGACAATAAGCAAATATATCAATAGGAAAAGGAAAAAACATGCTCCAAATAACTATATACAGATCATAGACAATAAGGTAACATTTTAAGAAGAAAACTGATACTAGTTTGGTATTATTCTAAATTAAAATAAATTGATTATGGATTTTTAGAGATCAAACCGGATTTTTTTTTATCTTTAGAAATTAGGAACCACCTATGAAACCAACCAGAGGACCAAATTTGTCTGATTTCTATAGTCGGAGGGTTTCCGTTACTTGGTTTTGTAGTTCACGGTTAAAAACCGAACTAACTTGCAACTTGTATGTTGAAAAAATTACTTCCCTATTTTCATTCAATTTAGCAATGCAACATGTTTTTTTATGATTATATTATGGCAACATAAATGACCTAAGTTATTCCTCATATTTTTAATCAATGGGCTAACACAACCGGATCACGATAAAGCAATTTATTTGTTATATTCATAATCAGAATACATATACTATACCGTTTCAATACAAATATAATTATAATTCTGCATTTATTTTATTTTATTTTGAAGAACGTGCACATGGTGTGCGTGATACGTGCACGGCTCTAGTTCACACCAACGAAAGGCAGAGAAATAAGGAAGAAGCATGATGCAGGCGTGACGCCAGAATCCTCCACTAGTTGTACTAGTATATGGGAGTATATATATTTGCACCAACACATGGCAGAATAATAAATAGTAAAACGATGGAGCAGAATTACATTTACATTAATAAATGGCGGAACATTCAAGGATGGGCAAACCTAACAATGGGAACAAATTAAAGAAGCAACCATTAAGGCGTTGTTAGTTCCTCCTTCAAAAGTTTACACCATATTTCATTAAATGTTTGACACATACATAGAGTATTAAATATAGACTAAAAAATAACTAATTACACAGATTGTGACTACTTTGCGAGACGAATCTTTTAAGCCTAATTAGTCTATGATTGACAATAAAGTGATATAGTCCACACATGTGCTAATGATAGATTAATTAGGCTTAATAAATTTATCTCGCGGTTTACTGACGGCAGGTCCGGTCCTGTCAATTTATGGGCCTGGAGCTTAGCCAGAAAGATGGGCCCTTCATTTACGACAACGCGCAAGAATGACGCCGGACGCGAAGACGCAGCTATGAAGCGACGAAGAGAGCGGCCGCGGCGGAAGTGAAATCGACGGACTCTTCCTCACACACTCCAGTATTTTTGGGCCACATATATGATTTTCTATTGGACCTGAGTATACCAGCTATAGCTTATAGTGTGTACATACCTAGGATTAGGCCCGAGGGCCCTGTGCCAATGCACAGCTCGCACCCCCCCGGGCCAGGCCTGACTGACGGATTCTATAATTAATTTGTTTTTTTATTAATATTTAAATACGCCGTGCGATACCTCATGTGACGCCGGCCAACCTCTACCCGGAACTAAATAAGGCCTGAAGAGGTCCGGCCGGCCGGCCGGCCAGTTCCGATCCGTGCCGATTTTAAATTCGAGGGGATGGTTTGCTCGAGCGCGTCAAATAATAAAATTCTCTCCGGCCGTGCCAACAGTGAGCATAATTTATGGCACGCATGGACGAATACGAGGCCGGTCTATTTGTTGTTTTTATTTTATTGGCTCCGGGGCGTTTGCTTATTAATTAGTACTAGTATAAATGATGCTGTATACTTAGGGTCTGTTCGGCAGGACTGAAAAATACTGTTTCGACTGATTGTTGTGAGAGAAAAATACTATTCTGACAGAACGTGAACAGTGATTTCGTGAGAGCGAGAACCAGCCAGCCAGCCGGCTTAAAGGCAGCCGAACGGGCTCTTACTCGATGGAAACCCCCTTGATTGGAGCTCAAGTCGATGTCACTTGCGAACCAAAGTCCAGTTCGTTAGGTATTTTTTTTATGGTGGATCCACACTTTATCTTGGTTCAGGACTCAAACTCCGTTAACTATTCTTTTAGCTGTAAATGACGACACTAATCTAACGAGCGGTTGATGATGATTTCATCAATCACATATAGAATATGCATGTCCAGCCTTCCAGAGATACTCGTTACAACTATTCTTTCGGTTGTATGTGACGATACTAATAATTTGACTGGGCAACACTAGAGACGCTCGTTATAACTATTCTTTCGGTTGTACTTATATGACAACACTAAGAATTGGACAGAGCGGCCGGTGATCGATCATGTCATCATAGAATTTACATGTCTAGAATTCCTGAGGGGCAGAACGTGCACGAACGTGTTATAGGGATGTGTTTGCTTACATATTTGAATGCGTTTCAAGAAAACAAAAGTCGTTGTCACCTTATCTTGTTTTTTACATGTTAAGCTCTGGACTCATTAGTTCCCGCTACAAGTCAGCCGAGCGTACGTTTTCCTCTACCGTAATGAAGCGAGCCTGGTGGTTTGATTTAATTAATGTGCTGAAGCACAAAAGTCAATGGCGGTTGCACGTCACGCATGGCCTAATTTCAGCAACTAGCTTCAGCCCGTGCCAGTTATTAGGCACATAAAAATGCCGTGTAAAAAGTGGCTCCTAATCGTCCATGTTGCTTACGTATTTTCAATGCAATCAACATGATACAAATAATAAAAAGGTAGGGTTTGGAATTGGAATAGGAATTGGAAGAAAGAAAGAAGCATGCATCTTTGTTGGGATCACGTGATTCCTCACTCACGTCACGGGCTAGTGGATAGAGAGAAGAAGAGGGGTGAGACGACTTTGGTTTGTCCTTGCTTGACAAGGCGACGAGTCGCAAAAGAAGGGAGTATCCCGCCCGAGACCATAGTGCTCTGTCTGCTCTTGTCGATCAATTTTGACAACCTTATAACTTTCTCTCTCCATCCAAAAAAATATATAATTTTAGAACAGTGTCATATTTTAGTATATCACCTTTGACTAAATATAAATAAAAATATATAAATATTTATAATATAAAATAAATATAATTAGATTAATTACGAAATATACGTTCATAATAAATTAATTTAGAGTCATAAATATAAATATTATTTACTAAAAACTTAGTCAAACGTGAAACACTCAAAGTGACACATAACCTACAGTTGCATTTTTTTTTTTAGAACAGAGGTATGACTATATGAGGCCGATGGAGGGCAGAACGGTAAATGCAACGAAGGGGCAGGACGGTAGTTTGGCGAAAGCAGGGGGGGCGGAGATGACACCATGCTGCGGCTGCGTGGAGCGGTCATTTTCTCTTTTTAAGCGCACCAGGACCACATGTGTGTACTGTACACTACAGTGCAGTGCAGCAGCTGCTTTTCCACTACAACACAAAACCCGTGTCTTGCATCGGATGTCTAGCAATGGTACCGAAATACATTGCAGCTCAATTCCCACCTCTCCACTTTCCACGCAAGGATTGACCGTAACCTCTGCTCCCGAGTCCTTATCGCCACGTTTTCTTAGACAACCCTTAGCTTTCTTCCACGTCCAACCCATCTCTCCTGCTCCTGATCCGATCTCCATCGAGCGTGTGGAGAGGAAGGGACCAACTTGACAATCAGGTGGCGGCGTTGATCCTATACAAGGTGGTTTCGTGGGTGGTCGAGCTCGGTAGGAGGCCGCGACACCGTGAGTTCGCCGCCCTCGCCAAGGAGACCGTGAGTTCGCCGCCGTCGCCGTGGGTGGTCCAGCGTAGACAAGTATGATCGGGAGTTGCCACAAATCAGAGGGTCCAAGTGGCAACCGATGCGGCGGAGGTGAGTGCTGGACACCATCAGGTCTCAACCAGTCCATGTTCGCCATCTCTTCTGATGTCCAGGTCCCTAATCACCTCTGGTCTTTGCGTCCTGCACTAGATGTACGTATCCTGCTGTGCCGTTCTGATTGGATCTAGTTAGTGTTGCTTCACTCCCTCCGCTGAAATTCCCATTAAACTCTTTCTAATCCCATATTTCTATTCCAATCCTAAGTGATTGGTTCGTTCAAAAAAAAGATTATGCAGGTGTGGTAATTGAAAGCATCTTATTATTACAGGGGAAGTCACGATGGGGTAGCTGATGAGAAGCTCCACTATCTATAACTGGATATCAGTACGAACATTTTGGTAAGTTACACCTCTATACATTCCAGATGGAAAGAAATTGAGCAAGTCTGTAATTCATCTTTATCCAATAAGTTTTCCTTCCCCTAAAATCTATTCTTCTCTAGACTGATTGTTCATGTATTGTTTTATTTCTGTGTCATTATTGTTAGTGCTTTGATATAGATATCTTCATTTTCCTTTAACCAGTGCAGAAAAAGCATATATCTTCTAAACCTGGGTATTTGGAATAATTAAGTTTTTAAGAAATTAATGTCTAGCCAGATTAGCCTCCCTTTTCCCAGTACATACAATTGTCTGCAATTTTTGCATTGTCTGATGGGATCTATATGAATATATACTGACAGACCGGTACCCAATTTAATCTGCCTTCTAGATAATGTATTAATCTGCGAGAGCTCCTAATTCAATTATCATGTATCATAACATATGAAACTAACACAATATTAATCTTGGAGATCAATAATCATAATCCTGGGTATTTGGAATGACGTGTTGTTTTAAACATATTTTTTTAGGGGGTGAAAGTCTGCAAAGGTTCTGTCCCATCTGGTAGCACACTAACTTTCTCAGCATGTGCTTAATAAAATACTAGGGAATAAATTTGTTCTTCACTTATTTTGAAGTGAAATGAGCTTCAGCTAAATCTGTTTAGGAATTGCAATTTTTTCTTATATAGTTTGGTGTGCATCGTGCATCGAAAGATTTACCTATTTTCCTTTTGCATACAAGATGTTAAGAAGATCGTGAAGGTACAGGGTCACATGTAGTTCTACTATGGGACTACAATATAGGTTAGTTTGTATGATAACCATTCTAGTGATTATTTACAACTTTTTACAGAAAAACAACTGTTTAGTCAATGAATTTTGTAGGATGATATCTTTTTCTAGACTTCTTGACATTTATGAGTAATCAATTTGTTCAGGTCATCAGCAATGCATTAACTAAGTGACTCCGGATTGCAATTTCTTATTAGCAGAAGATTTATCTGAACGTACATGGAAATGTTCTACTGCGAAATTGGAGTATATGTATGCACCTAGCTCAGAGTTATTTTAATGACTTATTCTGATTACCTTTATATAATTAAAACATTTATTTATATTAACATTCCAGCTGTTGGAGATGATCAATTCTTGCATGGACGAAAGGATGGAGATGAAAAGTGAAGAAATCAAAGAAGTAACTAGCTAGATAAATGAGCCTTTGGGAGAGAAGATTACACTGTCATACATGTTTATTTCGATGGTCCTTATATATTGTACACTCCATTTAGATAATTCCAACTTAGTTCACTGTGGTCAGAAAATGTGTATACACATGGTACGATTATTTTATCAGTGAAATAACACTTTTCAAGGGCTATTACGATGTGTTCCTCTTCTGATGTGTTACTCCTGTGTATTTCTTATATGTGAAAAATCAAAGTTATTTTGTCATCCGTATACAAAAGTAATAAATAATGATATGTGAAACATCTAATAAGAGTTAAATGCACCGTAGGTCTATTAACTTTAAGTTGTGTGTCATCTAGGTCCATCAATTTTTAAACTGTATTTTTTGGTCTATTAATTTTTGGTGGTGTATTATTCAGGTCCATCAACTTTCAAACTGTATTTTTTGGTTCATTAACTTTTGATGGTGTCATCCAGGTCTATCAACTTTTAAATTGTATTTTTTGGTCCCTAAACTTTTTAACTAGTTCACCGTAGGTCTATACCCCTTCGTTTAGCGAATAGATCTGACATGTCATGCCAAAAAAAGCAGCCACGTGGAGTACAGGACGAGATCACCATCCGGAGATAATCTTCAATACGAAGAACCTAATAGGATCACCATCTAGGGTTTCTCAAGCGATGGCTCGATGGGGAATAAACTCCATAATAAAATCCAGTCTAATCTATCCTGTATAAGGCCGAAGGCCACAGGAATAGGCACGCAGGCCAACTGACACAAACAAAACTCGGACTCCACCAGCCCAACTAGGACCGATTGACCCTGAGTCCCTGATTTGACTAACATGCATGGCACGTCCAAACACAGCCACCAATTTGATTCACGTATACAGGTGCACGCAGACACTAAAAACTAGATAGATAAAAGATCGTGTATCGCAACTGGATAGGAAACTAATGCATGGAAATAATAAAATACTATGGCAAGGATGCTAATCACGTTGGAAAAAATCCATTGATGATCTCCACCTCTTTAAAATTAGTACTGATGTATTTTGTTGGCTTTATTTTCTTCTCCTTTCCACGCAATAATAAGGCACCTCTATAAAATATCTTTCAGCCTGTTCGCTGGTTGGTTTTTGGGCTGATAAATCCGGCTGGTGCTAGTTTGTTGTAAGAGGAAAACATTGTACTATGACTGATAAGCTCTGGCTGAAACCAACAAGCGAACAGGCTGTTTGATGACAATCCGGTAGTTGTAAATATCTCCATGTCCACAATATATTTATCTTTAAAAATAATAGTCCCAAATTTAAGACCAGAGGATATTAACGAATTACCAGCTGCTACATTTGAATTATTGTTAGACAAGTCTCTATGAACATCTTGAGGAGCTATGGACTCATCACCTACTCCACGGTGGCTGCTTATTTAGCGTGTCATGTCAGATCTATTCGCTAAACGAAGGGGTATGAACCTATGATGAACCAATTAAAAAGTTTAAGGACCTGGATGACACACCACCAAAAATTAATGGACACAAAAATACAATTTGAAAGTTGATAGACCTGGATGATACACCACCAAAAGTTAATGAACCTAAAAATACAGTTTGAAATTTGATAGATCTAGATGACACACCACCAAAAACTAATGGACCTACGATAAGTCATCTTTTCCTTATTGTAAGCGCCAACACATACAAGTGTTGGTAACAATAGGAGATTTCCGTTGCTGGCTAGTAACACTTAATGGTACATGTTACCAAATATATATATATATATATATATATATAGAGAGAGAGAGAGAGAGACTCTAGCAACATCACATCTAGCAACGCATACCATATGCATTGGTAAAGACTACTACAACACTTACATAGCGTTGCTAAAGGGTGGTCCTCTTGCAGAACGTGCGTGCGTGCGTGCTGCCGTGCCCGACGATGGCCGGCGAAAAGTCCTTTCCTTTCCTTCCGCATGGGCAAGGCAATGCATTCTCATCTCCTTGTTGACATTCTTTGGATCGACTAGAGTAGATCTAGGCGATCTAGGCGGATGAACTCATAGATCCATGAAAGACATGCACATTTAGACCTAGAACACTACACCGAGAGGGAGATAGGGGAGAGAGGACTGGTGATGAACCTGAGCCTCCAGATGATGTCGCGGTTGTGCTAGCCATCGCGGGTTGGTGATGGGAGGCACCACACGGGCAATGACGGGTGAAGTAGAGGTTACACGACGTCGATGCGGCAAAGGCGGTCGGCGCGAGCGATGGCGACGACGAGGATCGGCGGAGCTTCCCGTCGGCCGGGCTGGCGCCCTCTCGAGATCGGTTTAGGGTTTGTCGGTGGGGTTTATGGCTCACGGCAAACCTCGTACATTGAGCGCCGGCCCCCACCTCTTTATATATAGCTTGATGCGACGGGGCCCACCAACCATAGGGTTGGGCGCCCCGATCAGTATGCGAGACCAAGGCCCAATAGGTCGTTGGGCTTATTAGTCAGGAGATCAATCTAACATTCTCCCCCTTGATCTCACTATTACTTTTATCTTTAAACTTTAAACTTCAATCCTTTTATCCTTACTCATTTCTTCACAGATGATGCATAGAGCATGTCTCATCGTCACGGTCAATCGCCGATAGATTTAATGACTACGATGCACGTCTCGATCCGAAATAGTTACTTTAACTTTTGGGCCCTTTATAGTCCGAGTCATAGGCTTTCCCTTAAACCCATGCCGGCTACATGTTCTCTCGAACACGCGTTGGGCGGTAAGCCTTTTGTAAGCGGATCCGCGAGCATCTTTTTGGTACTTATATGCTCAAGACTTATCATTTGATCCCGGACTTTATCCTTCACAACATAATACTTTATGTCAATGTGTTTGGCAGCACCACTTGACCTATTGTTGTGAGCATACTGTACTGCTGGATTATTATCGCAGTATAACCTCAGTGGTCTATTGATGTCGTCAACCACCTTCAAACCGGTATGAACTTCTTTAGCCGTTCACCACCCCCTGCCTCAGAAACACGCTACAAACTCGGCATACATTGTGGACGATGTAGTGACGGTTTGCTTTGAGCTTTTCCATGAAATAGCTCCCCCTACGAGAGTGAACACATATCCAGACGTGGATTTTCTATTATCTCCCGCATAATCAGAATCTGAATATCCCACTATATGAAGTGAATCAGATCTTCTATATGTCATCATGAGGCCTTTCGTTCCTTGTAAATAACGCAAGACTTTCTTTACCAATTTTCGGTGTTCTATTCGAGATTGCTCGAATCGCCAAGTAACCGGTAACAAATGCCAAGTCGTATGCGTACACACTTGAGCATATTGCAAGCTTCCGACAAGGTGAAGCATATGGAACCACTTTCATTTGATCGATCTCATATTGGTTCTGGGGCATTGAAAATCCCCATATCGTCAGCCCTTGACTATAGGAGCGGTGAGGGACTACATTTGTGCATCTTGAATTTCTTTAAGACTTTTTCTATGTATGCCTTTTGTG